AAGTTTTCCAAGATAGCTCTCATTTTATAATTCCATACTTTAAAAAAACATGTAATATATATTAGAATCAAAAAAGGCAGTCTCGCGATATTGCATTTTAAATTTGAAGCGGATTCCCAAAACTGTAATGGGTAATGGATTTTCACGTCGGCCACTCGGGTTTTTATTACTGATTTTTGTGCACGCGAGTTTTCGGAAACGGCTCGATCGATTTTCACGAAACTTTCAGATCTGATAGATATTGGTCTGAACCTTATTGGAAATTTTTTATATATACGCTGTCACTTCCGGTCGTGAGATATGGACGTTTTACTGATTTTTAGAGGGTCAGCTTGTCCTGGCAATCACTCCAAAACGAATAAAGATATTGACTTGAGATTTTCAGTGAAGGTAGAGGAAGGATTGCTGAATTGCTTTTTTGAGTCTATATCTTTCCAGCGCAAAAGGCGTTGAAGCTCGCCTGAGCTTGTTATTATTATTTTTTTTCTGACCATCTTATTTTGTGCACGCGATTTCTCGAAGACTACTGGATGGATTTTCATGAAATTTGCAGGAACAATGTGTTGTTATCTGAAGTTATTTTATCCAAGAGATTTTTTGGAAATTCCTTTCTGGTGCCAAGTTACGGACAATTTTCTGATTTTAAAATGACATTTTGTTCGCAGATAATCTCAAGAACGGTAAAAGACATCACTGTGAAACTTTCAGGGATTATAGATCGTGATAAATACTATCCAAGACGCGATCTTTTGTACGTCGTCTCTACTTCCTGTCGTAACGGCATGCAAATTTTAAAAGTCGTATTTTTGAACTTTTTTGTTTTTGAATATTTTCAAATTATATTGGTATGGTTGATAGAAATAATTCTTATTAGGCTGAATATATAATTTGTTTGTAAATTGATAAATTCAAATTTGAGATATTAACATTCAAAAATCTGAAGCGGGACCAAAATGGCGGCAGTCTCTGTCAATTCTGACATTTCGCAACAGGGGTTTACAGAGGCAGCCGAGCGTTTGCTTTAACGAAAGTAACATAAGGAGCGATGAAATGTGTAGGGATACTTGGATTGTCACGTCGTAGGTTCGTTGCAATTCTGTGTCAAACTTCATTTATAATCCAAGGTCTCCTTACAAGTCTTCTTTAATTGGTTGTGGTTGTTTCTCAAAGTAGAAATAGAAAAGAATTAATGTGCAAATCAAGTACAATATCCAATATCTTTTGTTTTGCATCACGGAAACACATAGCTTAAATCATATTAGTTATAATTAATGGTTTTTCAAGAAACAATATATAAAGTAGGTACAAAACGTGACCACTGTTTTCCCATGCACACTTGTGTCGTATGAAATAAATAGAAAGGACAACTGCTACAATAAGAAAACATTTTTTGAAAAAGATAACTATTTTTCAAAGACCGTTTAATTGACCAATATAAACTTTATTTTTGAACATAATGGAATCTTATTCCTTGACCCTCGGAGGGCGATCGAGGCATTTTATTATTTTTTTTTCTTACCGATTTTGTGCAAGCGAGTTCTCGGAAACGGCATAGTTGATTTTCACGAAACTTTCAGATCTGATAGATATTGGTCTGAACCTTATTAGAAATTTTTTATATCTACGACATCACTTCCAGTCGTGATATATGGACGATTTACTGATTTTCGTAGGGTCAGCTTGTCCTGGCAATCACTCCAAAACGAATGAAGATATTGACTTGAGATTTTCAGTGAAGGTAGAGGAAGGATTGTAGAATTGCTTTTTTGAGTCTATATCTTTCCAGCGCAAAAGGATTTGAAGTTCACCTGCGCTAAAAAAAATAGACTCAGAAATATCTCGCAAAATTTGATACGTTTTCTTTGATATCTTTGTACCTGTAAATAATTTGTTAAAGGATATATAATAAAAGTTCTTCAGAATTACAAGTTCTTTCATTTGATATGAAGAAAAAGGGTCTGACCCCTCAAATAAAGGCACAGAGGGGCCAGAACGTTTTGATTTATAGCTCTTTAACTATCAAGATTTTGTGATACATTTCTGAAGCAAAAATATTTATCTTAACAATCTGCAACAATATATTGTAAAACTATTATCATATGTTACGTAATAAGGGGCCTTAAGGGGCCAAAATGCTAAATCTTTGCTTCTTTATATCTCGGAAAGGATAAATATTTTGATAAGCAGTATTGAATAAAAGATGTTCAGAATCGTATTCTTAACAATATACAACCATTCATTTTTTGCAAATCGACAACATTAAGGACTTGAAGGGCTGGCCCCTATATATTTCTATTCTACATAGCTTGAAAACGAAGAGAAATTTATGAATAGTTATTGAACAAAAAATCTTTAAAATCACGAGCCTTATAATTTGATATGAAGACAAAGGGTCTGACCCCTTAAATAAGGGGCCTATAAGGGCCAAGACATTCATCTAGAATTATTAGATAAGGTTATCTAAATCAAAAGAGAGAAAGCTTGATATCATTCTGTATTGACAAAGATAATAGTCAAAATCATATCTCATTTGATCGAAAAATCGGATGGAAGACCTACTCGTTGCTCGCAACGAGATCTCATCTAGTTAAATTATTATATTTCATTTTAGGCAGTGGAACAGCGTAAAGAATGTAGCAGATTGTTTCTGAGACCAAGAATTCAGATACAAAACAATGTAAATGTAAGATCATAGATTTATTTCAGTATTAATTTCATATCTCCTCACTCATCTTTATGTTATTAATATTATACTCCCACCCCCGTTAATTTTGTGATTTAAATAAATGCTTAATTGCAGCTTAAATGACAAACTCTAAAGCAATTCTTAAGCAATCATGTTAAGAAAGATAGATTCTTATTTTCACACAAAAGGTCATATGTGCAGGAGAATATAACATATTATTATACCTCATTATAAATATTCTACACATCGCGTAATCTGATTGGTTCTAGGTTATCACATGATCAGGTCGTAAAACTTCATATTTCCCGGCCATCGGCACGCTTTTCATCATATTCCACCTCTTCGGAACACCTAGTGTATTTTCCCGCAATATTTTTCTTGTTCGTTGAACGAAAACTCCAGAGAGTAGTAGACATCACAATAGCCTGGTTAACGTCACAAAATTGCTGATTAGAAACGTGTCAAAAGGTTTCAGGAACTTTGACGTTAAAAATGAAAGTGACTGGAGAGCAGTACCGAATATGAAAGTTTATGTTTAGTTCAAAGGTTTTGCTTATTCGGTATAATAAACAATTCATTGCATGAATGTTCGGGAAACATGAAGACTTATTCAGCTAAGAAATATCATATTCCCCTCGGGCTAATATGATTTTTCTTGGCTGAATAAGTCTTCATATTTCCCTCACTATCATGCAATAAATGTATATTGTTATACCTTTAACTTTCTTCCTAATCCTATACAAATCTATACAGAAAAAGTCTTAACATTTTTAATATGTTTTGCAGAGCAGGTGCATAGAAAAAAAATCGATGTTGGACCACTGAGTGAGATGTTGGACCACTCGGAGAAATGTTGGACCGCTTACGTTACAGAATGGACAGAGCTTAATCTCATTTTCATTCGTTGATGTTAAACAGTGACAGACTTGATGTTACATCATGGAATGCAGCACAAAATACATGTATGTCAAAAAAATAAAATAAAATTAAAGGTATAACAAAACATTTATTGACAGAGATCTTGGGCAATATGCGTTTTGTGGGACCCTCGAACCAAACTGACGGCCTCAGGCAGTCAGTTTGTTTCTTGGTTCCGACAAAACGCATGTTGCCCTCGAACTCAGTCAATAAATGTGTAGTATTTTTTCTACAATGTTGAATCTTAGCCAATTCAATAATATAATAATAAATTTTACTGTGAGAAAGCCATTTCAATATTGTGTGCAATATGATCAGTTGTAATCACATTTTATATCTAAGGAAAATTTATAAATTCCTGTTAAGTGTATACATTTTTTTCAATCTCCCTACAACTAAGCTAAGATGTAGAGCTCTAGTAGCTGCTCATCATGTAATTGTAAACAGACACAGCTGACTTTGGCTTTTAAAATCTAACAAATTATGTGTTGATTAATTTGCTGAGATGAAGTATAGATTGAATCAGAGAACACTTTGCCTGGTGTCTCTTTGTTCATCTGTCTTAATGTAAATGTAAAGACTGAAAGGTTAAGGTCATTGGTCAATCTCAACAAAGGGCAAAAACTTTCACTTATTTTTTAAAAAGATTTTTTTTCTATTGTTCCTTGTATTTTTAGGAAAATGTTGAATCCAGTCAAGGACACCAATGGATAGCTAAGAAAGCCAAGTTTCAGAAGCAACAATTTCTGGTATTGATCTCCTCTCAAAGCTTGCAGCGTGCAACAAGAGTCCTGTTAAAATGCTTAGAGTCATTTGTTAGTTCAAGTGAACAAACAAGAAGAAGATATGCAGCCAAAGCAAATAATTGCCTCTCTCTTCTTTTAAAGACAATATGTCCTGAAGAAAGTGATGCCTTAAAAGATGCAATGTTTTCAAAATTACAAAAGGCTCATTACGAGTCACCGGCACTTATTGAGGCTTTCACTGAGAGTTACCTTAAAGTTGAGACACCAACAGTTCGGCGTCAAATATTATCTATTCTTACCACCCCGACCATTTATCAACTTTAATACCACGAGACACTTGTCCGAGCCGCAGTGATGACTATCTTTGCAGTGTAAGGAAGAAGTAAAACATGTATTTTCATTCTTATTGTATTAAAATATTTTGTTATTTTCAGAAAAAGAACTACCAGAAGGAGACGGTAAAGAGGAACGGACATATCACACCATAAGACGTGCTTCAAAATCTGAATATACAGAGTGAATTTTACTTACTGCAAATCCTTGTGAAAGAACACCTTTGTTGTATTGACATAAAAACAACGGAATTGTCAGGATCCTTGAACATGACGCAACTGGCTGCATACGATGGCAATTAGAAATGCATACATGTTTACATTGATCTTTGTTAGCGAATAAGACAAAAAGCAAAATAGCAAGTTTATCCTATTACCGTACATGTACTGAATGTATTCACTTTATTTTGTTGAACTACATCATGAGTTAAAAAATTGTACAATATCACATACAGTTTATGGTGGGATTCCTCTAACTTTTATGAATCTGTTTGCAAAATCTATACTTTAAAGTTACAATTTATTACCTCTAAAACATTGTATGTTTTTTTTGTAAATTATTACACTGTTTTTGTATGTATGTAATGATAACCAAATCACCCAATTTTCCCGCACTTTTTACCATGTATTTAGCATTTTTTTACCATGCTTAAGTGTATTAATATTTTACAACTGATGACCAGGCAGTCTTCATTTAACAGTGTAATACATAACACATTTTTATCTGAATATTTTTAAAACAAGGATAACATGCCGTGGATTGATTCTGTGTTCAAAACTTCATAATCACTGGGTTTTCTTATTTATGTTGTACACGTATTTGGAATAAAAAAGGAATTGTTAAAAGAAAAGTGAAATTAATCATTCTATTGTTGTCAAAGAAAGATAATAAAACCAGTTTACTTTATATGCACAGAATTGGTCAAAAGATATTGTCATTGATAAGTCATCCAAGAATCATATGTATAATAAATTTACAAAGTCAATTTGAACGATGTAAAGGAAAGGTTTTATCTTTTTTAATATAAGTGCAAAAAGGTCAACCAGGGCAAACTGTGTCCAGATGTACATGTATAAATTGTTTTCTGTGATATAGAATGTAATTTAGAAGAATATTACTTGGAATTTTACTCGTTTTCTTTGAAATATTTTGATTAATTCTATCTATCAAAGTCGATTTGAACGATATAAGGAAAACTTCTTTTCTTTTTAGCTCTTCTGAGCCAAAGGCTCAAAGAGCTAATGCTATGGCCATTTGTGCGGTGTGCGTAAACTTTTTAGAATATGGGCCATAACTCAAGAACCCCTTGGCCAATCAGTACCAAATTTGTCACAGGGTATCCTTGGCCCAAGGGCTACCATTTATACTAAAATAAGGGTTGGGACCCTTAAACAAGGGGAGATAATCAGGAAAACAAAACCAAAAGTACTGGTTGCTAAAAAATCTTCTTCTCCATAACCACCAGGCAGATTTTCACCAAACTTACATACAATTATCAGGATATGTCGAAGATTAAAATTTGCACGGGGAATTACCCTGGGGCAAAGGGCGTGGTCTCAAGGTCACATCAAAGTTGACCTAAATTTACAATTAATAAAAACGTGTATATTTTGCTTATTGCAAGGACTAGGATCATCAATTCTTGTAAGTTGATGCATCTTACGACTTCACATCATGTTAACTCAAAAGTAGGTCACGGTGACCTACTTTTTAAATTTTGCGGGGATTTGTTTTCAAATTGGTTTGAAGGCATATTTTGGACACTTTAAGGCTTATGATCATCAAACTTTGTCAGTTGATGCATCTTGGGTCCTCAAACAATGTCAACTTAAAAGTAGGTCACCGTGACCTACTTTTTGAACTTTATGACTTATCCTTTTAAAAACATTAAATCTCATTATTTCAGACACTGAGAGGTTTAGAATCATCAAATCTTGTACTTTGATGCATCTTGGGGTCTTGAAACATATTTATGAAAAAGTAGGTCACTGTGACCTACTTTTTGAATTTTGCCGACATTTGTTTTCAAATTGTTTAAAACGCATATTTTGATTACCTTCAGACCTACGATCATCAAACTTGGTCAGTAGATGCATCTTGGGTCTTTGAAAAATCTCGACCAAAATGTAGGTCACAATGACTTACTTTCGACATTTAATGGCTATATTTAAGTATCTTAGGTATTTATTGGCTTAGAATTATCAAACTTTGTGAGTCCATGCATATTTGATTTTCGAAGAGTGACGACCAAAAAGTAGGTCACGGTGACCTACTTTTGACATTTTATGGCTTTATTTAAGTATCTCTGGTACTTATTGACCTAAAATCATCAAACTTTGTGAGTTGATGCATCTTGGGTTTTCGGAGAACGTTGACCAAAAAGTAGGTCACAGTGACCTACTTTTGACATTTTATGGCTATAATTAAGTATCTCTGGCACTTATTGGCTAAGAATCATCAAACTTTGTCAGTTGAGGCACCTTGAGTTTTCGGAGAACGTCGACCAAAAAATAGGTCACAGTGACCTACTTTTGACATTTTATGGCTATATTTAATTATATCTGGTACCTATTGGCTCGGAATTATCAAACTTTGTCAGTTGAGGCATCTTAGGGTTTCATTGAATGTCCAACAAGAAGTAAGTCACAGTGACCTAATTTTGAATATCTCAGGTACTTATTGGCTTAGAATCATCAAATTTTGTCAATTTAGGCATTATGGGTTTTTGATGATGCATCTTGGGTTTTCAGAGAATGTTGACCAAAAAGTAGGTCATGGTGACCTACTTTTGAATATCTCAGGTACTTATTTAATTAGAATCATTAGTCTTTGTCAATTGATGTATCTTGAGTCCTCAGAAAATTTCAATCAAAAGGTAGGTCACTGTGACCTACTTATGGTATTTTATAATTATATTATAATATCTTCAGTCTTAATTGGCTAAATATTATCAAACTTTGTAAGTTGATGCATTTTGGGTCTTATGATTCTAATAGAGTTGGAGGCTTCAAATAGAAGTGATAGATTGTACAATTTATCAGAAGAGCGATTCAAGGCCCTTGGGCCTCTTGTTTAATATAAGTGCAAAAAGGTCAACCAGAGCAACATGTGTCTAGGTGTACATGTATAAATTGTTTTTGTGATACAAAATGTAATTTAGAAGAATATTACAAAGAATTTACTCATTTTCTGTGAAATATTTTGATAAATTCTTGATAATCTCTCTTAGTCACCATATTCTTCAAAATTGCATCCTTCTAAAGGAAGGGGGTAGGGTAGGGTGTAAGATAATAATCTTGTTCCAGGTTGAATTTAAACCCCATTATGTAGTATGATTTTTTTTCTAAAATTTAAGACACTTATAGGCTAACTGTAATATGTAATAAAAAAAGAAATTTGATGGGTAATTTTTTCACAGTGGAAGCAGAAGTATGAGACTTTGTGCAATGAATAGGCAATATTTAAACCTAATTTGACCATGCATGTTGGTAAATGTAATTCTGTTTTTTGCTTACAATGCTTGATAAATTTAAGATTGATGTCAAATATTAATCCATACAGACAGATGTTTGAATTCATATATGACAAATGATAATTGATATAGCAATAAAAGATTTACATCCCTTTTCATATCATATTATTATATTATTTTATCCTGCTTTTTCAGCTCTTCGGTGGTTGATGAAGGCTATATTAAAAATGTCAAATTTCTCTAAAACTAGCCTGATGACCTGCCTTGAATTTTTGATATGATTTAGAACAAGGACTCAACACAAACATATAAAAAATTCAGAAAAATTCAATGGGTAGTTTTTTTGTTGACAAGCTATCAATCTCTACCTTAATGCATGCTGATAATCAGTAAACCCCCCCCCCCCCCACTTCTATATATTTTTCTATTTAAATGAAGACAAAATGCAAATAATCATATTTGTAGAATAACAAAACACTTACATTTGA